GAGAGAGAGAGAGAGAGAGAGAGAGAGAGAGAGTAATCAAGAAATGAATCACAAAAAAAGATTAAACAAAAAAAATTAAAAGGTATTAAAATGATTAAACATCAGACAACAATTTAACAAACCTGTGTTGATATAAACAAGACTAACATTTTAATACAGTAGAGACTTATATACATCAAGAAAATGATAAATTATCGTTATAAACTATATTACAACACATACCATCACAAACTACAATTTGTTGGCTTTCTCTAAAAAAATATGTAAAGTACACATCCAAAACCATTTATTGGTTTCAATTCCCCTACTAAAACTGTTAACTCCACACTACAATTTGTTTGCCTTATCTAAAAGAGAATTTATGTAAGATACATTATTAACACATAACTCCAATGTTATGTACAAAACTGTACTATCTAAGAGCAAAAATCAATACCAATCACATAAATATTAGAAAAAAACAAGTGAATAATATTATATATTCCAATGGCAAGTCAACATTCTGGAAAGAAATTTAGGGCAAAATTTGTTATGAGGTAAACGAAAAGTGTTTCAAAAAATCCCACCAAGGTAACCCCAAAAGAAGTAAATACGTTGTGCCATTTTAAAAAAAAAATTTAGAAGAAGAGTCATCCAATAGAATCGATAGAGAAATACATTCAGGTCATCGTCGTGCATTTCATTTTCTTTGCTCTATTTGCCTACCTACACACATCACAATAAACAAAAAGAATAAAAAGTATTGTATTGATAATAAGAGTTCATCCAATAACATATGACCATAAATCATAACCAAGAATAAATTTTGATATCGTGAAAGGAACATACCGCAATCAATTATTTAACCAATCACCACAAAAAAAACCAATATCGATAGATTCCATGAGGTTAGGGTTAGGATGATTAAAGATTGTACCTGTTTCAGATAATTCAGTTTATATTCGTGGAAGACTGGGAGAGTGAAGGAACCGAGAAAGGGAATTAGGATGATTGAAGATTGTACCTTTTCCAGAGAATTGAGGATAAGGATGATGGCAGCGTGAGTAGAAGACGGTGCCCTGGTGCCATGGATGTTAGCAGGTAACGGTGAAGACAACCGTTTGATGATGAATGCAAAGTTCAATGGTGCTGAACCTGTTGATGGCGCCGAACGGTGTTGTTCTATGGGAGGAAGCAGACCATTATTTGTGGTGTAGGTATAAGAAGCGTGAAAACTGGTACGACTTTTAAAAAAAAAGGTAATTAATTGATTAAGTTTTTTTATCATAATTAGTTATACATAAAATTAATATTATAACCTTATATAATGATTGGTTTAGAATTAGTCATATATTCACAAAATATTTAGTTGTTATATATGATCCTAACTCTCTCTCTCTCTCTCTCTCTCTCTATATATATATATATATATATATATATATATATATATATATATATATATATATATATATATATATATATATATATATATATATATATATATATATATATATATATATATATATGGGAGCGTTCAATCGAGAACATTTCTTATCGCGAGAACATTTGAGAACAAATTTGGACCACACAATTTTTTTAATTAAAATTATAATATTCATATAAATAAAAAAAATAGTTACAAACAATTAAAAAACTCACTAACTAACACCACTCACCACCTAACCAACACCACCCGCCACCACTACCCGCCACCACTACCCATCACTAATTATCACCACCAACAGGTTGGAATGCCCCAGGCTCACAACTAACAGATTGGAATGCCTGCATACTATAAGTCCAATCATCCTCGGAATGGAATACTCACGGCCCACAACCAACAGGTTGGAATGCCCAAGTCTATTAGCCTCTGCACAAAGCAAGTGACACCGCCAAACAAACATGTGCACATACATATATAACAGATAATCACATATCAGTCTATAGACAACAATTGGTCTAACGGATCATACTACATATCACATAATACCATCCTAGTTACCAGGATGCCGATCTAACAGGTCATACCACTTATTGCATAATATCATCATACCCTTTAGGATACCGACCTAATGGGTCATACTACATATCACATAATATTATCCTACCCTCTAGGATACCGATCTAACATATCATACTAGCATAACATACTAAGTAACAATCAAAAGGGTCGGCCTTGGCGCTTTAGACCCTTGAGTATAGTGAGGATAACTCACCTTGCAATGTCAGACTGAACCACAAAATCTCGCTCCCAAAACACTGTCCCAAACTCCAACACCTATATCCACCAATGATCGAATTCATAAATACCTGCTTACCAATTATTCTCAAAAGTCAAACTGGTCAACCATTGGTTCAAGGTCAAAGTCAACAATCCATGTTGACCTCAACTCGTCGAGTACAACCAGCTACTTGCCGAGTTCCTTGCATACTCACCAAATCGCTGAGTCACTTGAGTGACTCGTCGAGTTCCTAGTGTCAGTGGCCGTAACTCCTTGGCCAACTCGGCGAGTTTTCCCCTTACAACACGTGGCGTTCATACGTGTCCAAATGTTGGGAAAACCCTAGCAAACTCGCCGAGTCATCGACTGACTCGCCGAGCCCAAGGCAATCTTCATCGGACTCGCCGAGTCGTTCATCCAACTCATCGAGTTTATGACCATCTTTATATGACTCGCCGAGTCAACTATGTGACTCGTTGAGTCCCTTCCATCCTTCATCCATACAGATGCTTTTTAAGCCATGTAAAGGCTCCAGATTACAGATCCAACCTTCCAAGGCCTGATTATCACGTAAAGTTGCAAACTTTACGTGCATGCAAAGTTGTAAGGCCCTTAAATAACAAAACTAAGCTTGCAATGAAGTCTCACACTTGAGGGAAGGCTCATACTCTCCCAAGCTACTATTTTTATGGATCTAGAGACCAAAGGAAGTCCAGATCTGAAGTTGCAACTTCAGACACTACTAGAAAAATAGCCTTTTACGACGTGCGAACCATGACACGCAGTGATTTATGATACGCAAAGGTGAGTGTCTAAAAAATAATGTCATCTCTTCCAAAATTTAAAGGATTTCAGACGCGCATTTTTGCGGGCCCTAAAATTAGTGTCTAAACAAAAAAATAAAAACACGGAGGGCACCTACGTGTCGTCTACGACCGCCGCTTTATAAATTTTAATAGAATGCGCGCGTTCCATCCGGGGAAAATGAAATCCCAAAAACTTAAAATCCCCGCCTTCCTTTTTTTTTTCTCCCTCCACTTTAATTTCCCTAGTAGCTAGGGATTTTTTTTCAAGAACTTGCCCCGATTATGCCCTCCTGTACTGCTCATTCTCTCTTCAACTTTCCTTTCTCTCCTTCTCACTTCGACAAACCCTTTCTCTTCTTCTCGGTTCTCGATGTCGACAGCTTCTCCCACCTCCGACGTTTCTCTTGGTGTTGGCGCCTCCCACCTCTGACCTCCGTCTAGCCCCGCCTCACCGTCCATTGCTTTCCAGCGTCACCCAGACGATGGAGCCCCTCATCTCCGGCAATCTCACCTCGCCTGCCCTTGCCAACAACATTAGGTCTGGTGACCTAGACCGAGAAAATCAAAAGCCTTCGGAGGAGTGGTGGCACTACTCAAATCCCAGCGACGGAAGGAAACTCTCTATCACAGCAACAGAAAGTCGGAGACTGGAATGGGAGAAAGAGAAATAGAAATCGAGAAATCGACTTATACAGTAAATGGGGAAGAATCGATGATGCACGCAACATGTTTGATAAAATGCCTCATCCGCCATGGTCTTAATCTACAAGTCTCTCTCTCTCTCTCTCTCTCTCTCACACACACACACACACACACACTCTCTCTCTCTCTGTCTCTCTATCTCTTTACCCCATACTGCTCGACAACCACCCAGGCACCCACCACCCTTCGTCTTCTCTCTGGTTCACCACACTTCTCTTTCCTATGTTTGTTAGATTCGTCATCTGATTGGCGAGTGTTCTATAAAAAATGATTTTTCCGTTTCATATTTTATGGATACCTTTAATCTTCCGTGATGATTATGAATGTAGTCATAGAGTACTCGCTCCACTATCATTTTCAATCATTTTAGGGCATGGAGAGGTAATTTTTCTAGTCGGGGAGGGTTTCAATTATATATCTACTATATCTATTTCTAACTTTTTACAGAGGATCGTTATGATTTAGGTTTTAGTTTAGCTTCCGAGACACCTCACATGATAAGTGCAGCTGTTAAAGGCATAACTCCATTGAGTTATGAGTTTACTTATCTTGTATCCGTTGCTTTTAGTGTTTTTCAAGTTCTAGTTGTTGACAATTATCAATATTTTTTTATGTAACCCAATAAGTGTATTCCACCTGGCCGATAAATAATCCATCCAAAATTCAATCCCCCTTTTTTACCCGGGATAATTCAGTAACCCAAGTACTCTGGGGACTGGGGGGTTCACCACTGGAACAAAACTCTACGGACAATTCCAATCTCTCATAAGTTTCGTTAATTTGAATATTTGATTTGTTGTGATGCGTCTTAGATCTTAATTACACTCGGATGCTCGCTTAGAAATAGATAATTTTTACAATTCGATTCACCCTTAATCTGTCATTTCGTTTTTGAAATCATTGATCCATCGTGATTGGGCTTTATGTGAGCATCTTCGTTTTCTAGATTTGAACTTTGTGGAATATCTAATATTACGTTAGATTTGCCATTAATTCGATAATTGTTTGAAATTTCAATTAGGCTTAGCATTTTAGGGCATGACCGTTTGGAATCTGTGTTTCTGTTTGGTGTTTTGGTTTCGTTGCCTTTATTTGTTTCGTGTTTTCATGATGCATCTGAACTGTACTGGTTTTAGGTGTCTGATAATATACTGTACATATGAAGTGATATAGCTGTATTTTTCTTTAGCATGCCAGATGTGGCGTCTAATTTTATATCTAACTGTAACTTCTGTAATTGTGATTGATGATTTTGGGATTTTAGGCTTACCATCCGGGTTGATTACTAGATATGGGGGTTTACCTAAGCACACCTAAAACTGATAAAACATCCGACGATGGTGAGAATGAGAAACTGAGATATGGAGTCTCATCCATGCAAGGATGGCGCACATCAATGGAAGATGATGTAAGTCCCTAGTATAGGCTACTTGTTAGTTATATAAGCTATTGTTCCTGTTTGGATTTTCTATATTCTAAAAAGGTATGATAGTTTAATGCTCTTGTAATCTTGTTGAATTTTCTCTATATCTCTCTATGATACAACTTTCAGTCAGCCCAAACATTGATCACTATAGTAATTAACCAAGATTTTATGTGTCAATATGAGGTGTTTGGTAGCATGCTGCTTTACTTGACTTGGACAACTCCACATCTTTCTTTGGCGTTTATGATGGCCATGGAGGTAAGCATATGGATATAGATTATATACACACATGTTTGTTTCTTCATATATAAGGTGTCCTCACTAAGCTTTTTTTTTAGCTTTCAGGGCAGGCAGTCTCTAAGTTCTGTGCCAAGTATCTTCACCAGCAACTCCTGAAGCAGGAAGCTTATGCTGCTGGTGATATTGGAACTGCTGCCCAGAAATCTTTTCTCAGGTTACTCTTCTATGTTATCTATTCACACTAACCAAATACATGGTTGTTTTGTCTTGTCTGTTATCTGAAGAAATTGGTATCATTATGCAGAATGGATGAGATGATGTGTGGACAACGTGGCTGGAGAGAGTTGGCTATATTGGGAAATAAAATGGATCAATTCAGTGGCATGATAGAGGGACTAATTTGGTCACCAAAGGGTAACGATTTAAAAGGTCTAAATGATAATTGGTCTACTGATATTGGGAAATAAAATGGATCAATTCAGTGGCTTGTTAAGCTCTTTCAATCTGTTGGGACATACAACACCTATCCAGGCTGGATCCCTTCTACTTGTGGGCCCATTTCTTGATTACTGGTTAACAGAAAAGAGAGTCAACATGTTTAAATATGATATTTCCTCTATGGTGAGTAAGAGTATATTTATACAACTATAAACCAGTAATTGTTAACAGAATCATGGTTTTATCTGTGTAGGATTTCTTGGTGTTATTGATAGAGGATAAGGAATTGGTCGAAAATCCTATGATTGATGCTTGGTTGCTTAAGAATAGAAAAAGTCCCTGGGTTGGGAAGAAAGAAGGGTTACAAGGATGTTGGATCTTTTATTGAACTCACTCCTTATGCATCTGAAGTGGTAAGTCTATTTGTTCCCTGGAGGATAATATTGTAATTGTTCTACTTGTTCTAAAGCTACATTCCTATCATATACACACAATTAAATTTTACGAATTTATCCCAACCTAATACCCATACGCATATGTCCATTTTAACACATGCCTACATTCAACTATCTGCAATAGAAAACCATCATTTAGAATAACAAAAATATATTAAAATTTAAATATAAGTAAGCATATACCTGCAACCTAACTTCTAGAATAAATTTCAACTGTGTCTTGGGTTGGCATTACCTCTCACTAAGTTTTGCAAGCTGAAATTTTACCAGATGTTAATAAACCTAATAAAATACTAAAAAAAAAATACTTTTTAGTTTTTAATATAATATTACCAAAAAAAAATATTGGAATTCTAACTTACATGAACTGTTTGCATATGCAGTAAATCCGCAAGTGCTTTTTGCCTCGACTGTTAATGTGAAAAAAAGAATCAAAGTATTATGTATCAGAAACATAAATTTAAAAATATATAGAAAATTACAATTATGCCCTTGTATACTGATTGGTTAGTAGCCCAACGTTCATAATAGTGAATATATCTCTCTAAAGAATTCTTGGCCATTTCACTTCTGTGTTCAGATTCATCATACTACAAATGGAAGTGGAATGAATTACAAGATTAAAGATTTGAGACTTTAAAAAATGAGTAATTGTAATGTTTTATTGAATTTAGAGTAAAATACAATTAGTTTTATTACATGATGTTTATAATTCATGCATGTTTACAGCTGCATTTGCAACCTTGTTCTAACAACAAACCCACATGTAGTATTTAATTGTTTATTTACGGTTGTGCCCCTGAACTATTATGTATTAACATCCATAAGCCTTTTTTCTCATGTTAGTTAAGATTCATAAAGATACTTATGTTCTAGCTGAATATAAATAAGTCTTTCTAGTAGCCCCACCCTTATCCTTAGCAACATAATTAATTGCATTAGCATCTAATGTAATTCGGTTCTGCTTACAGTAACGAGGAAGAAGCAAGCCATTGTATCTAGTAGTTTTGGAGGAAACGAGACTCAAGCAAAAAGCAAACACACGGAGAGTTGTTGGCAGATAGTAAGCTAGATAATGCAATTGTATATTCTGCTTCTCTTGAGTTCATTTTTTTATAACATTTACTCACTATTGGAATACTTATTTGTATTTGACATATTAGTGAAATGAATTATCTTTGTTATTTATGGTATTTTATTTGTATGACATTAAATTTTATGCAATGGATTGTATTTTTTGTATATGATATTTATTTTCTATTATGAGACATTAAATACAAATTTAATTTGAAAATTAGTAAATCTGTAAATATTTTTTTTAAACATTTAAATTTATGATACTCAACCACCAAAAGCCTTTCCTAAAACCCACCCAAAAGAGATTAAAAGATAGATGAGCCAAAGAAACAACTTAATACCTTCCAGAGAGTGACAATTGATGAAACCCTAGCCTTGATTTCCTTGCTTCCCCAAGTGTTTCCTCCTCCAAGCTTGAACACACCAAAAGAACACACACACTCGATTTAGGGTTGAGAGGGATAAGAAGCAGTAAAGGGGAGGCTGGGGGAGGCCATTGATCCTTTAAATAGGGTGAAATTCCCCGAAATCTAGGGTTTCATCTGCAAGCTCCTACTCATCGAGTCCGCTCTTGGACTCGGCGAGTAGATCACTAAAACACGCGGACAAACCCGTTATTACTCAACGAGTAGGGCGGCTAACTCGTCGAGTAAACCCAAACCCCAAAAAGATTCATACATAAATCAATACCTGAGAATCGGGGACACCATCACCGCCCACCACCAATCATTACCCACCACCACCCGCCACCACCATCACCACTCCGCCACCACCACCCATCACCACCGCCCGTTGCCACCACCAACAACCACTACCTACCACCCATCACCACCACCACGCATCACTACCCACCACCACTAACCACTACCCACCACCCATCACTACCCACCACCACCCATCACCCACCCACCACAACCACCACCCACCACCACCCGCCACCATCACCCATCACTACCCACCACCACCAACCACCCATCACTACTCACCACCCACCACCACTCGCCATCACTACCACCCACCCACCACCACCACCACCCATCACTATCACCACCACTTGCAACCACCAACTACCACCCATCACCACATGCCACCACTACCGTGCCTCCACCACCCGCTGCCGCCACCCCCTAGCCCTGCCTATAAAGATTTGTTATTGTGTTTTTGATTCATTAGTTTTTCTCGTGTATATAATCACATGTGATTATATGTATAGAATCATATATGATTTAAATGTTATTAAATACATATAATCACATGTGATTAAATACACGTGAAAAACTAGTGAATCGAGAATGCAAAAATGAATATTGTCCACGTAAATCATATGTGATTAGATACATATAATTACTCGTGATGATATGTATTTAATAAAATATTATTTACGTGGGCCGTATTTATTTTCATGTTTTTGATTTAATAATTGGCATCGTGTATTAAATCACATGCGATTATATGTATTTAATTACATATGATTTACATGGACAATATTTGTTTTCACGCGTTGATTGAATAGTTGTTCTTGTGTATTTAATCACATGTGATTATATTTATTTAATCACATATGATTCGTATGAAAAATATTTATTCTTGCGACGATTCAATAATTCTTCTAATATATTTAATCACATGTGATTATATGTATTTAATCACATATGATTTATCTGGACAAGATTCATTATTTCTTTCTCAATTCAATAGTTGTACTCATCTACATAATCGCATGTGACTATATGTATCAAATCGCATATGATTTATATTGATAATATTCATGATTCAATATTTTTTTTCTTATGTATTTAATCATATGTGATTGTATGTATTAATCTTATATGATTAATGTGGAAAAAGAAAGACTATTTAATCAAAAACGAGAAAATGAATATTGTGTACAGAAATCATATGTGACTAAATGTACAAGAACAACTATTGAGCAAGAACGTGAAAATGAATATTGTCCATATAAATCATATCTAATTAGATACATATAATCTCATGTAATAAAGAACACAAGAACAACAACTGAATCGAGAACGTGAAAATAAATATTTTCCACATAAATTATATAGGATTAGATACATATAATCACATGTGATTATTGTTAGGGTGCAAAGTTATCCATGTTTGAATTTGTAATGTGTTGAATTTTGTAAAACTCACTTGCATGTGGTGTATTAGCCTTTTGACTCGTGAGATAGAGAGTGAGATAGAGACATGTAAACACCTCTATATAAGGTGGGCTTAGTCCACTTGTAGAGGCGTGCTTGAGAGGTGTAAAAGTGAGTGTGTAAGTGTGTGTTATTTATGTAGATGTAGATATATGTCCCTTTTTGTAACACAACACATATTCAATACATCTCTTAAACACCGAAATCACCATGTTCATTGTGCAATCTTTAATTCCGCATGCCAAACCATGTTCTATAATCACTACAATTGGTATCAGAGCGGGTCTTCGAAGATCAACGTAATTTTTTGAAGATTGATTCTCAGTTTGGCAAAATTTGTCACAATTGGAGCATTTTTGGTGAGTCTCTCTCTATGATCTCTCTTAATTTCATTGAATTCGTGCGTTGCGTTTTTGATTTGTGATCATGTGACATGTTGGATCAAAGTTTTCTTGAAAAATCCACTTGTTATGATCCAATAATTTTTTTGTTGATCAAGGTATGATCCAATCTCATATTCGTTTGTTTGATTCGATTGTCAAAATTGCTAATGTTCATTTGAATCGAGTGTTGGTCCAAAAACCTTCCATTATTGTTAATTGATCATTAAATCAAATTTGTGAACAAATTGTTTGCATATGTCATCAAATTCTGATCTTGAGCCCAAAATGAAATCAATTACTGTTCATCAGGCATGATTTAGCCCACAATTCATATGTTTAATCCAGTTTTTGAATCTATACTTTTTACAAATAAATTTTGAGCCCAAAATTGTTTCGATCCAACAAATTGCAATTGTGAGCCCAATGGTTTGTACAATCCAGTGATTCCGGTCGATACTTTAATCCTTTTTTAGAAAGCATTCGTCATACGTATTCCAATCTGTACAAGATGTTCTCATCACTTTTGTTTCTGATTCTAGTATTACATTTTCATCCTGTAACAATCGTTTGTTACTGATTGTTAATCTAAAACTGTGAATCGATTTCATATGATTGGTGTATGATGAAATCAGTTTTAGAATTGACTCTTTGATCTTGATGAAATTAATCAAAAACTGTCAAATTTTTGTGAAGAACAGTTGGATCATCATGTTTTGATCTGGATTTTGTCACTAGAAGCATCGATTTCATGTTTGTTGACAGTTTATTTAGAAAAGTCAAACATAGCAAAAAGTCAACTTCGATTTTTGAGTGATGAATCAAAGAATTGAAGGTTGCAATCGTTGATTTTGAGTTGAGAACAAGATATGGATGTCGAAATCAAGTCTAATTTGGAGGTTAATTTCAAAATTGGTTGGATTTATGTTCTTGATGTCGAACGGTACTTGAA